GGGAATAGGAGATTTACATCTCAACTATAGAAATGAATCATGTCTAAACTTTATGAAAAGTTTTAAAGTGAAAAAGTGCATAAAGGCACAAAAAGAGTTGATGCGTTTTTGTATTTTTTATGTCTTTTGAAATTGGTCAAAGCATGATTAACATTGATTGACTTTTATTAAGAAAAACAAAGTTTAAAAATCACTTGACGAAAGTCAAGGTTTTATTGCGAAAGCGGTTTTGAAGTTTGAAACCAAGAAGGTTTTGAAAAAAGGGAGAAAGTTTTGAAAATTTAAGAAGGGGAGGAGATGAAGTGACTATCCTAAAAAACAAAATAAGAGCTAGAGGTAAGAAAGATCTAACCGACTTGTAGCACACTCCAAAGCAAGCAAAAAGAATTCCATCCGATTTAAAGCATAAGCTAATGAGCGAGCCAAATAAAGGCTAAGATCCACAATACTCCAAGCATATGAATGAAAGTCCTAATTCTAAGTCCAAAATGTCCATGAAGTCCAAAGTCTAAGAATGGTCCAAGAGTATAACCACAAAGTTAATAGCACCAAATTTTTTTAGATGTTTTATCCTTTATTAGTGTTTTGAACAAAGTATGGTCCAAGTGGACAAAAGAGAAATGACATAAACATAAACAAAGATATGGTATGAAATGATAAAATGGAAGCATAAAAGTAAAAAATAAGGAGTAAGAAGAGAATATAAACAAAATTAAACAAGGATATTGTTAGTGAATTAGTGGTTAGTGGTTAGAACATATGACCAATGATGATTAATTCTTGCACTTAAACCAAGATTAATGAAAATTCATTAGAGGATTAATAGAATCAAAGCCTCCTAACAATGATTTTCATAGGTATTGGAGTTAAGACAAGCAACTAAACATACTTGGACTTTTAAACGTAAGTTTGAGCCACGAATGATCATTTTCCGATTAAGGGACAATTTAGCGCTATGTTAAGCAATCGTAATCGGGTTTATGTAGAAACCACGACTATCTGAGGCCGGTCAATAAAATGTTAGTGTTAATACATGTTAGAGAAATGATATATAAATCACTCTCCTAAAACATGCCACACAAAAAGAAAAGAGGTGGTGATCTCATCATAATCAAGATTTTTCATCAATTAATCAAAGGTAATCTATCACTATTCCAAAGTAAGGAGAATTATCTCAATGATTATTCGTCCATAGTTTTGAAATAATGAAGATTAATCAACCTTGATAATCAACAATCTATGATCCATAGACTTCATCGATCAAAAGAAAAATAAGAAGAAGAACTAAAATGAAAAGAAACCACAATTTGGATCTTAAATCGATTAAATCATCATCAATATCAATCACCTCTTTTGGTGGATAAAATCGACACCCAAAGTCCATTGATATTGACGAGATCTTATCAAAATTTAAAATCCAAAACAACCAACAATTAGCTCAAAACAAAAGTTTTTAAATAAATTTTTTAAGAGCTCTTTAAAAAAACTATTTAAAATATTAACTAGTAAAAAAAAAGAAATAACAAAATAAAAGGAATAAAGAAAAATATATTTAAAATAGTAAAGAAAAACGAAAAGGAAAAAGAGAAGCAGGAACCAAAACATCAGAAACAACTTCTTCTTCAAAACTTCACGCGACACCGTTCACCATGGCTATGAATTCAAGCTCAAATTAAAGCGACGGGATGCGAAACTAACACGGTTGTGATCGGAATCAAAAACTCTTCACAACAGTATAAACAATCCAAGGAAATATGCAATGACGAACTCGAATCGAGAAAACAAAATCCATCGAACTACCTTCAAAATCACAGGTAAGAAATCAATCCAAACTTCTTCTTGCTTCTCTTCTTCTTCTGAACGAATCTCTGGTTGAATTGCTGTTGTTGAAGACAACTATGGAATCAAGTTATGAATCCTATTGAAGCTGATTTTTGAAGAAACCGTAATGAAGAAAATGGAGGTTTGTGATAAATTTGGCAGAGCTTCAATGGCTCTCTGAGCTTGAAGAAAAGAGTGAACAAGGCTCTCTATTTATAGAATGAGAGTGAGGGAGAGTGATTTGCGTTTGAATCTTTTTTTTCTGCGTTTTGAATTGGGTGTGTTGTGTGAACGGCGTGACTCATGTGCATTTTTCATGTCGTTTTGGAATTTCTCCTTGGTAGCTCATGAAGTCGTTTTTCTTTTTCTTTCAGCTTTATTGTAATTTGATTGTGACGTGGAATATTTTCATCAGCTGGCTCACGTGCTATTTATTTATTTATTTATTTTTGCAGCAGCTTGTGAATATGGCTTTGTAACACGGCTGGGATTATATTAACATGGCTTGTATCATGATGAATTTTTCTTCACCCTGTTGCAAGTGGCTCGTTCTTTTAAAGTTACAAGGGTAGCAACAGTAGCAAGCATGAGTTGAATATCTGGTATCTTGGTCAGAGAATGATTTCAGAAGCGAGTTTATGGTGTTTGATCTTACTACAAAATACATCTCCTCTTTCACACCTGATTTGTGAACACGCTCTGAACCTGCTAAGTCTACCACGACCAACTTGCTCTTCCAAACGAGAGGCATCACCATTTTGACTAGATACAATATCTTTGCTTTCTGCGACAGACCTCTTAATATGTACCGCCAGCATTACGTGACTACGAGAAGATTCTGTGTTCATTTTGGTATTAGCAGCAGTCCGACTAGCTTCCCCGATTCTTAACAACTCCAAAAAGTTTTACTGGTCCCTGATATCTACAATAGTTTCCCCAGGCAAAGATAAATCGCCAGCTCTTGGATCTTCCATTATCGGAATGCTATCATTCGCTGGATTAAGCAAGTCCTGAAGAGTCTCCGTGTAAAACTGCAGATAGGAGACAGTGACAGCATCAGTATCTGAAGATAAATCAGCAAGAATATCCTCCATTGAACACACCATGATTCCACAATTTGATGTGTTTCCTTCTTCTAATTGTCCAAGAGTAAAAGTTTTTCCCCGTTCCAGTTTAACCATAAGCCATTACAGTCCTAGTATAACCATCAAGAACACTCTCCACGACTGGTTTAACCACAACCTCATAGACACGCTTCTATGATGCAGTTTGATTAAACACCTCGTCAAACTCATAAGTGTCTGAATCCCAATTGTTTCTGTGAAGTTTCAGTCTTTTAAGCTCTGGTTGTAATTCGACACAGTCAACAAAATCAGCATCTGCCATATTCTTCTTCAGTATTTCGAGGTCTCAATCAAACAGCCACCCGAACTCTTCCAGGCACAGCGCCATTTCGGTGAAAATTTGAAGCCATCAAGAGCTGGAGCTTTTGACGGTAAATTTCTTCGTGAATTTTACAGGCTTTTTTTTGGATCAAAATGCAATTCATTACACAGATTTTGAAGGAATGTTGTTTTGCTATCATTTCCTTTTTAACATTGCCGTAATAATCACAACCATTGAATTCAGTGCTGCATAATTTCAGGTTTAAACCGAACCATGATAGACACTAGCTACTGTCGAACGTTATCAGCTGATTTCAGTGCCCTGAATCAATAAGGCATTGAATTATAGCTGGTAAGAATTCTTCAATGGAAGCATTCATCATACTTACTGGAAGGCTTGTTTTTTCTAAGCTGAGCTTCAACAATGGTATCATTCAGTTCACTCACAAAAGTTGCAGCCCATTCTTGTGATGTGTAAGTCGTCACATGCTTGAAATTAAACTGATGCCGTTTTTCTCTTTCATCAGCTGGCATATCCAAAGCAATAACCAATAGAAGCAGCAACTTCTGTGATGTTCCATGGATTTACCAAGATAGCACCAGCACCAAGAGATTGTACTGCACCTGCAAACTCACTTAAAATGAGAACCCCCTTCTTGGAAGCTTGACAAGATTCATTCCATCCCTTAATGATATAACAAGTGCTACATCTGTAACTGCATAGAGTGCACATAACGCATGAAAGTCAAGTGACCGATCCAGATGGTGTATCGGGACAGCAGTAAGTGTTCCAAATCTTCCAGTGATGCGTCCAACAATTTCATGCACCTGGCTTGTAAACTTCTCGGACTACTCTCTGCATTCCCATTTTTCTTCTGCTAGTTCTCCTGTCTGCATGACTAGATGTTTCCGGTTGACCTATTATATTACTGGTAGTTAATACTGGTGTACAGACAGCTTTCACTTTTTGAATTACAATTTTCATTTGAAGAACTGTCACAGCAACTGCGCTTGTCGTCCTTTGAAGAACTATTGCTTGCTCTTATTTTAGTAAGACACTTGCCAGATAAAATGTTGTTGACATTGATAGAATCTGCAGATAACAAATCATCTGAATCAGCTTTGCAGTAGGATATGATAAGATCCACCAACAACCTTTTCTATTCCCCATTCCAGTCTTTTATTTGCTTCCTTGAAGTTAACACGAGCTGTAAATGTAGGAAGTGGCATTTGTACAAGAACAGTGTTAGCATTGATGCTTGAGTTGAATTCAGCCCGCACTTTAATGGTCACTTCAGCCTTGAGTGGTCCTGTTTCCTCAATCAATGTATTAATACGAAAAGGTGGCTTAAATGCTTGAGTTATACGATAATTCATGACAGGAAATTCACCATCTGGTGGTACCAAAGATAAAGTTCGGTCAACATCAAAGCTATCAAGGTGCACAGACTCATGAAAGTTGCAATCATCTAAAATCACAGCACCAGAACCTCTATAATCACTTGTTCCTATACTCAAGTCCTCATTGAGAGCAAGTCGAATCTCTGGGTTACCAGTAAGATAACTCTTCATTTGAATGGTGCCATCAATCTCACTAGTAAGTATATATCCACTAGAATTGAATGTGACGCTTATTTTCTCAATTACATCAACAAAGATCTCATCTCTCTTCCTCCCACCAGGTTCATTAGCAACAACAGATTTTGTAATAGCTGTACCCGGCATTCGCTTGCTCCCGTGCATAAAAATCGAAGTGGGACCAAGTGGCATCTGTGCAGTCTCAATCACAATCGGCTAATTGAAAACATACGACTTCAAAACCTCCGTAGACGTCGTTTGCACATAACCAAAATCAATCATTTCATCAAGCAGTTCATAGACAAGCACAAAATTCTTCCTAAAAGAATCCTTATTAAGAACACCAAGGTAATCTTTAATAACCCTTGCAGTTCTTTGCAAAAGCTCCAAAACAACAGAAGGAGAAACATTAACTCTAGTCGTAGCAACAAACAACAACCCCGCAACCTTGACATGGAAGTAGTTCACACCATCTACATTAAAAACAGGTGGAGCATCACCATCAGCGTCCTCTTTCCAGAACTTGACTTTTCGGAAAAACGTTTCAGCGCTTCCCTTTTGTACTTCACCACGATAGTCGCGGAAGACGATGTTGTCGCCTCTTTGGGAAAGGACGAAGAACTGAGAAATCATGTTTTGTTGCTGTGTTTCTTTCTTTGCTTCTTTGACTTGTCTCTTCCTGCTCCTTGCTTAGCATAAATTGGAAGCTTTTTAAGGACATATGTTAGACCTCGCACAATTCTCTAGTCCAAGATTTCTCCCGAGTTCAACAAGTGTTGTTTTCAGTATTGTATGTCTATCAAGAGGACTTCTAATCTCATGAGTCAACATCCTAACATGTCGACCGGTTTCTCTGGAATTCAAGCTTCATATTTGTCTGCACAGCACTCTCTGACCTTGCTACATCAACTTGAACTGAATGATCAACAACAAGATCAACAGGAACCAGAGGGTTGATCTTATTAGAAACACTGCCAAGCATCACGCATGCAAGCCAGATCAACAACAGCTGGGACTTCAGTAAGATCCTGCTGGAGAATTTTCAACACTTCTAGTAGATGAGGATAGCGAGCAAGATTTCCAAGAGTTGATAATACATGTTTTGAAACCTCTTGATCCGGGATACTCCTGCTCATTGATCCAATAAGGCGCAGCAAGGTCTCAATGGCCCCAGCAGCCACAAGTTCTTCACAGCATCTCTTAGAATGCTCTGTCACCAAATTCAATGTTGAACAAGTATGAAGGATGTCACTGAGACTCTTCATATTAAGTAGCTTTGAAAGCGCCGCCAAGAGTCTGTTTATGAGACGTTTACTATCATCCACATTTTTGGAAGACTCTTGCAATCTCAATCGCAAATCCATTAGCTGCTTTGTTGACTGCTTACGAGCAGTGTAACCTTTCCAGTGGGATTGTATGACAATAATATGATGCCTATAAAAGTTGGCCCTTCGTCTGGCTACCCATCCACGAATTTGAGACTGTATAATGATTGCAGACTTAGTCCTCAATTTATCTGAGAAGAGATGCTTCCACCATCGTTGCAATTTCACTACTTGAAACAAGAAAAGTTCCAACTGAAAACTAGAATAGCCTGTTGGTTTTGAAATGCATCCAGCAGCAACTGTACGCAGCTTAGAAGCACTGCCTAATATCGAACTTCGAGTTAAATGTCCCCTAATATATCGCTGGAGTTCCAATGCGGCATATTCTTCCATGACATTAGTACGGTGTTTCTCAACTGTGGCCTTTCGCCTAGCTATCCAGCCACGTGTACAAGACTGGATTGTGACGGTTGATCTACTCAACAATTTAAGCAACAAGAGACCCTTCCACCACCTTTGCAATTTCACTACCGAAAACATGAATGCTTCAAGTTGAAAACTGCATACGCCAATAGGTCTTGAAATGCAACTACCAGTAACAGCTTCACATGACTTGGAAGCACTAATAGCCGATTTCGAGTTAAATGCCCCCTGATGGAGCGCTGGATCTCCAATGCAGCATCTTTCTGGCATTTGAGTGTCTTCTGGCAGTTCAAACTTCTAATGACACTCTGGATTTTTATTATAGCATCACTGTGAAACACAAAATCTCGTTTCACAAGCCAACCGCGACAATGCCTTTGAATCTCAACAATCTGACTCCTACGAGCACAAGCATGCTTCCGAGCAATCCATCCACGAAAAGAAGATTGAATGACAATAGCAGCCTTAAACAAGACTTTGAAGTTCTGAATAGCATTCACACATCTCCGCATTCGAAAATATGATTGAATTTTTATGACGGCGCGAATCTGATTTAAGAACTGTTTTCTCATTAACCACCTACGGAAATTACATTGAATTTTAGTTGCAAACAAGTGCTCCTTCCTTGTAGACTTGCAGCTTACGTAGTTTTTCCAAGCAAGCTGAATGGTAACAGCTGTCTTTGTTTTAAGATCAGAGATAAGTTTCTGTTCAGAAAACTTTAGATCTTTTTCTTTTTGATCTAGTTCACAAATATATCTGGATCGCGCCATCCAACCACGAACAAATTTCTGAACAGTAGTGGCAGCAGTCACTGTATCTGAAATCATGAGGTCAGGACTCATACTACATACTTGTTCAGACCTCCAATAGAGCCAACTCCTCACTGCTTGCTGGATAAGCTGTGCTGACCTTTTCAACCTCAAAAAAGAATGCCTATGATAGAAAAACATGGCATACCTCGCATATACTTCGGAATGCTTCAATGCTTCACATGAGAAATCACAGATTGGACCAGCAGTGAATATCATGCAAACCGGCTCCTGCCTTACTTTCTTCCTAGCTCGGAAAACAGTCTGCCAAAGGGTAACATCATCTACCATCTTGAGAAACTTGCGCCGTGCAACCAGTCCTCTGATGTGTGCTTGTATTGTTCTTGCCATTAATCTCCTTGCAAAACCCTAAACACACAGAGAAGAAGAAGAAACAAACAAATTGAAAAATATTTTTGGTAATTTTGGTTAGATGTTAGTAAACAGAAACAAACATAAAGTAAATAAGAAACACAAAGTAAGATCTTGTTTGTGGAATGATATGCAAATGAAATGTGGGATCTTAAGGGTAAAAATTAGGGTATTACAGCTGCCCCTATTTAAGATTCTTCTATAGGGAGACGTGAAGATTGACATCTTTGTCTCGACCAGATAGAAGAGACTTAAATATAACAATAAACCTAATTTTTAGCCATAAGAGACCACAAAATGATATGATTATGCTAATGATATGCGAACATAAGACTTCTGTGGGGAAATAATGCCACAAGAGACAAACAAAAGCTCGGGAGAAAAAGAGAGACTCCACATGAGAAAACAAAAGAGCAAGATCCTATTCCGATAAGGGAAAGGAAACGACTCAATGGGGAAAGAGATACCAACTGCCAGTTACTGGGCGAAGATATTCGAACCGAAGAGAATAGGTAAAATACTTTCTACCGGTTACTGAGTAGAAAATAAGTGCAAAACACAAGAGAATTGTTATCTACCAATTACTGGGTAGAAAACAAAGAAATGTATTACCTATTACCAGTTACTGGGTAAAAAGGTAGTCCACTCGTTGAAATATAATCAACTACCTGTTACTGGGTAGGAAAAGAAGCAACGCCAACTACTGGTTACTGAGTAGTTTAGCGAGATTAATAAACTTGAATGAAAGGGGTTACCATCTATCGGTTACTGGATAGGGTAAACAACATGTCAACTACCTGTTACTGGGTAGGACGGACTCGACTACCTATTACTGGGTAGGAGAAAAAGATAAAAGGTCGACTACCTGACACTGGGTAGGACAAACATACTCGACTACCTGTCACTGGGTAGGAGAAAGAGATTTACACAACAAACTTCTCAAATAAAGAGACAACCATTTGTTGGAAAAAGATATTAACAACTCTGGCGAGGATCTTTAAAAGAGATACAAGCAGGTTGAACCATGCAATAGAATTCTTATCGGGAGTTATTCCACAGAAATTCCAATTGACAGAAAAGCTGGTCGGATAAAGATTCATCACTTCACAATAAACTTCTCTGTTGAGGATGAGCCAGAGGAATGTTATTTATTGAGAAGGTAAAATTCTTGAGATTACACAAGCTGCTCAAATAAAGAGGCTTCTACATGAAGTTGCATAAGTAATTACCAAGAGAGTGTTATCAAAACACTACTGGGAGAATCAAATCTTCACCTTCTATTGGGGATCAATAACAGATTCCTGCTGAGGAAAATAAATCCTCAAAAATACCTTCTCGTCATCCCGGTTTCACAGCCCAGGGAAAACCAAAGTAACTGCTGCAAGAGACCAAAGTTCAATCCAGGAACAAACTGGAAAGAAACGGTCAAACAAGACTCGACCCAATGAGGAAATAACTCAACTGGGGAACAATTCCATCCAGATAAAAGTTGGGGATGAAAGCTAAACAAAACATCTTCCACGAGGCATAAACTCAGTGGGGAATTAAAAATGATAGGTATTTTCTGCTTAGGGGTCGACACTCTAATGAAGAGAGGACACACGCACTCTGCGAGATAACAACATCGGGAAAAGGGAAATACCAACAAAAAAAATGCATGATGCACAATGCAACAAAGACATGCTATGCTCAACCAAAATGAATGCGCATGCAATGAGTATGAATATGCTGATAAATCAGACAAAAAGGGCAAACAGAGGGTGAACAAAACACCACAACACCACGGAAATACTCGGCTAATCTCTGCAAGTTAGAGATATCATTGGAAATCGTGCTGGGGATCAGCAACAGAAAATCTGCAAGAGATACACAGGAGCCATCAAAGGAAAATAAATCCTACTACAAGGCTTAAATCTCGCTGAATAAATGGAGATATTGCTTGGGGAAAAGACCCCAAAGATCAATCTTCAACCATTAATAATTCAACAAGAGGGAACAACAATATGAACTCCGCTTTGAGAAAAAAAACTGTTGGAGAAAAACATAGCAACACAAATCTTCCAACCCTGACAGGGGAATAAGAAGTTAACGTCATAGCAAAAAGTCAAACTGTGGGGGATTTTAAATCAACACCCAATCACAAGGTGAGAGAAAACCCGACAGGTGACTGCTATATCAACACTTCTCAACCTTGTTCTCTACTTGAGGAATAATCCAAAGCAAATGTGCATAACCTCCGCTAGGAATCATCAAAGACAAATCTCCGCCTGGGCAAAAACAATCAAGGAGAAGTGATCTTCAAATTTCTCAACTGTCCGATCATAATCTGGTTGAATGAATAAAACATATCCATCATTTGAATCAAGACTTTGCTATGGAAAACCGTTCAACACTCGTCTGGTTTATTCAAAGAAACAAAACTCTGCTAAGGGAATATTAGCAAACTCTACTGAAGAGACCTCAATATAGCTCAAATGGGGAAACATCAACACAACTCTACTGGGGAGCTGCCAATAAATTCTACCAGAGAGGCAAGAAAGAACCCTGCTAAAGAGAACACTTACGCTTTTCGCTTCAAGATTCTACCATTCTTGGGATTACTGTTGACATTCTTTCTTTTATTTTCACAAATCAAAGAAAAATGTTTTTATAATTTTCAAAATTTAAATCAATTATTCACATTTGTTTCAAAAATCATCAT